GGAGCAACAAAGGCTGAATCTTGGTAGTAGTCCAACCTTTCAGATTGATAATGACTTTAACACTGACCTAATATTGAAAGGTGAACATGTAAGAGGCCATCAGACCTAATTATAAATTGGACAACAGGGATAAAACACATCACTAGTCTGTATCAATGAGACAAAACTTTCCTTGAGAGCAAAGGGCACAGATCTTGTCACAAGATTACAGTTTTGTCACTGATTTTGACACAAAAAACAATCAAAAACTTTGTTTTAAAGAAAGACATTAACACACTTCCCCCCCGCCCCCAAATCCAATTTTTGTTATAAAAGGAACAAAATATAGAACAGCTGAAGTTAATCTGGGTACCTATTCTTTAACTCAGTTTAGAGGTAGGAACTAGTAGGAACAAGCATATTTTTATGAAGAAAAAGCAAGCCTTCAAAATCTCTGTGGAAATCTGTTAAGATGATAACATTAGTACACTCACATTGTTCCTCTCCATAGCCTGCTGATGCATGATAGTGAACACAACCAGTTTCTGCTACAAACAGTAGATCATGGTCTTCAGCACTTTGCTGAGCACTCAGCGAGCCTCGTGGTTGGACCTCTGGGTGGGAAGGAACACAACTACAAAATGTGTTCAACCCAAGTAAGAGTAACTTCTTGTGAAAGGCAGCACAATAGCATTTCCTGGTTTAAAAGGCATTCTCATAATGCAAATAGGCTTCAGTACTGCTTATATGTATTTTCTAATTCAATCTTTTGTGCAGTGTCTAGAAATACAGTACAGTGGTAATAATGTAATTAGTATTTTCACTAGCTAAATTATAGAGCTGACTGCAGAATACAGCATAGTAGCATCAATATTAACAGTTAAGTATTATACAAAAATGACATCAGTAGTTTTAGTATAGTCATGAGAGACATTGTAATTTCCTCTTTCTCCAAGATCCCTTCAAATTGTGTCAGATGAGGAAATTCACAAAATCCACTGGCTTTTAGTTCAACTCAAATTCTAAATATCAGCATCTCTAAGATTTCTTAGGTAAATTTTTGTAGGTTCTTGAACAATATTCCTTTCTGAATATGGTATTAGTTATAAAGAATTTAAGTTCTGCTGCATCGACCTCTCATATGAATTTAATTTTCCCAGCACTTCTGCAAGTTAACAAAGGAGTATAACAGATACTTTACAGCTGAAGATGATGATACACAGGGATTTGTAATAATTATCCAAGACCATAAAAGCAATTCTATGTCAGTGCAAGAAATGGAACCACTGGCTTTGCAATCTAGTGCTGCTCTGTATTTCCTTTCTACCCTGGTCGCATAGTGAGATCTAAAACTCTAACAACCAAGATACTGGGCGCCAAACAGCCATTCAGGAAGATACTGAGGCAAGCATGCTTTCACAGATTCCTCACCTGAAGGAACAGTAGTCAGCCACCCCTACATGCCCAGAAATGAGAGGACTCCAATTTACACCAGAAGCTGAAGGCTATCCCACAGCATCCTCCATGCCTAAAACTCCCTTTTGGCCAAGCTAATTCACAACCCCGAGACCAAATCAAGATACACGGAGGATCTGCCCACACGCCATCCGCTTCCTAATTACAGTAACTTTATGCTTTACTTCACAAAATGAGATTCATTTCTTCCTTCACCAGTTCCATTCAGCTCCTTCAACATTTTGTTCGTTTGTTTGTTAAGATGCAGATCTCCAGCAGATTGATCACTTCAGATGAGACAAAGCAATCCCTTGGTAAATCCCTCTGGAAATGCGGAACATATTATACGCACAAGAGTTGAACTCCTTGAATTTCCCCTTTTCAGATCCTCTTGGTTTCCAGTCATTCAGATAAAGAATGGAGCTTTTGTAGGCCAGTTAATCCATCCACTGAATGAAATATGGTAAAGTTTTACACATCCACATGTTCTTTCAAGGCACTGGTTTACATCTGTAGATGTAATAATAGCTGTAGTAACGTAGACAAAAATCATGGCTCGGGCCCCCAGAGAAGATCTTTAAAGACTTGGGTTGAAAAGTCCCAATGCTGCAGTCAAAGGAACAGGCAAAATGATTTAAGGGCTGTCTCCGCTCACATTTATTTCTGCCAAAGCACTGGCTTAATTTTCTTTGTGTGTCTTAATAAGCCACCTCTGTGAGAGGGACTCTTACTTAAAATGCTTCTATGTCCTAAGCTCAGAAGTAGGCACTGTTGAGTGGTAAGCCGAGACAAACATCCAAAGGTGGTGTCAGGCTCAAGCTGCAAAACGAGCCTGTTCTTCATCTTCTCTAGCATCAGTCACAAACTAGCATGAAAACAGCATTTACGCAATGAATTAAAATGCAAATCTACATTTTATTCTATGAAATTGAGACAAACGATACACACTTGAAGCCTGCCAGAGTAGTAATTACAAACATTAATATAGTTTTAGATGATGACTTAAGCCAAAGGAGAAGATGGAATAGAAAAGCTGTACATCAGAGCCTATGAAACACTACAGGAAAAAAGCAACTCTTGCCCTAGTAATGTAGACCTAAAATACAAATTATCGATAATTCTGCTGTAAAGGGCTAGATCTGCCTCGTGCAGACGCGTACTTCCAGGGAAGCCTCTAGCCACAAGGTGTATGTACAATGCAGGGAAGCAGCCTGCCAGCAAAGGAGAGCTGAGGGGGTCTCGAAGTATGCGGGAGAGGACTTTGCACTGCCACAGCCTAATAGGATGTGGCATCGTCCAGGAGAGTCCTGCAACAAGAGGCCAAACAGCCACTGGTCTAGGACAGAACTGCCTAGCTGGTGTAAAGATGTATTTATGCTAGGTTTGATTTAGATTGTGCTCTGCACAATCAGATCGCTTTGAAGGTTTGCCTTGTGCAATCATTTCCTTTGTCAGGAATCAGAAAAAGACTGTGAAAAGACTGTGAACAAATTGTTTAGGCATTGAAATTTAACCCTGTGGAATCCTTACAGTGTAGCACAGTGTGACACAGCAGGAGCACATTTGTCAGGGGACTGAAGCCTCTTTGCTCTCTCCGCACAAAACATATACATTAGCATTGCGTGGTGTGGGTGTGCTCCCCAGCACATGATGCAGCTATGGGTACGCAGCTCTGTGCCTACCCTGCCTCCCATCTGCACTGCAACTGCATTCAGCCCTCTGCACCATTTCTGTTCCGTTAGAGAAAATAAAGGCTTCAGATCCTTCAAGACGGTCCAGTACATTTTCTTTTAGACACTGACAAGATTTGATTTTTAAATATCCATAATGCATGTGAGAAAATTATTGAGTATTACACCGATCTTTTTAATAGACCTAATGTTTTTCCACTAGTGTTCTAGCATTAATAATGTCAGAATATAAACACCAAAAATGAAAAGGCATTTGGTAGAAGCTAGTCAGCTCCAAGACTTTTCACTCTGATGTGGGCTAAGGAAAGAACCCAGCTGGTGTGGTTTCTATACCAGCATTCATGACACCAACAGTTTCTATCTCAGTTAGGCTCCATACAGCAAGGTACTGTGCATCCCCTGCTCCTCCTGAAGAGCAGAGTCAGAGAGCACCAAGTACCTCACAGCGGGAGCACAGCCCCCTGTAGAATTAAACCTTAACACAAGATAGCCCATCAATGTTTTTGTGAACTGTTGAAAAATATGCTGACAAGAATAAAAGAAAATAGTCATTTGGAAGTTGGCAGAGAAAAGCCACTCTAAATCATTTCCAACTGCAGTAAGTCTTTGCTCCTGTTTTACAAGTAATAGAAGAGACTATCCCTGTTTTATAAACTCATTCAGTTAATATGTTTTAGAAAGTAGACAAGTTTCTCTCCTGCGGGGGTTTTCAAATATTGTCTTTCCTTGTGGCTGCCAGTATTTCAACATCCCGTTCCAGAAATACTGTTTATTACTCTTTGGGAAAAAAAAAAAAACCAACACAAAAAACTGCTGCATACAAGGAAAAGAAAAATGGTTAGAAGAACAAAAAATGGTAAATGACAGTTACATATTAAGGAATACTAAAGGGTTGCACGCTGCTCCCTGCTGCTACAGTACACCAGAGGAGTAAGCAGAATGGAAAAGTCTTTTCACTCTACATAAGGTGGCAAAAATATTTCCAGGGTGTTCTACAGACAGGCAAGAGCTCATACCTCCAATAACCTCCATGTCAATGTGATCTGCAACTTCAAGACTAAGTTCCAATTGTGTTCCAACTCAATTCTGCAGCAATTTCAGCTCTTGAAGAATAAGTACTGAGCAGCCTTAGCCCCACCACTCAAATCAGTGGGACTCAAGTATGCTCAGGTTTCCTCTGAATGTGCTCAGAACTTTGCCAACAGTGTTCCTGCAGCCAATCAATTCTCCTCTCTTCTGAGCCACACATATTTGCAGCTGACCCAAATGGAGCCGAACCTCACAGGGTCCTTCCCTTTGTGCCCGTGGAAGTCCTAAGTTCACTCTGTTCTTTCCAAGAGGAACAACGATGCATACACCAAACAGTGTATTGCTCCTTCTCTCCACAGTGAATTCTGCCTTAATTAGGAGGACTTTTGAAGAAGATATATTATCTACCATGCCAGGACCACCACACTATCATATCATGCATAATTCAGCCCTTTTATCATCATCAGATGTGATTATTTCTTTACTTAGCAGCTACTAACACGTTTGGAGATGCAAAATCACATCGCTACTTTCTGAAAGGTAGCAGTAGGAGATATCTCAAGTGCAGAATGGATTCCATAATTAGAAAAAGCACAGGGGCCAGCTTTTTCCCCCTCATCAAGCTTGGGAAGCTCTAAACAATATGCAAAGGCAAAAGGGGAAAATGGTTACAGTACTGAGAAGGCTAAAATTTGAATGAGCTAATAACAAACCTTTCTTGTGGAAGGAAAAGGAAATGGCTGATTCTAAAAAAGCTTCTGTGATAAATCATCAGCCCTGCATGAAATTCCATTCATATATGCTGGAATATCTGGTAGTAATGTTCGAGAAAAACAAAAAGGAACAAAAACTTAACAACAAACAAGTTTATAAAGAACAAAATATAGCTTGCTGGAATTGCTGAGCTCTTTCAGTAGTTCAAACAGTAGAAGGAGATTTCAGAATCAAACAAGAGTTTCAACAGCTGTATTTGTATTACGGTCATAAAGGCATAAATGTGAAATACAGCTCTAATAAAAAATTGAAGTTTATAAAACTGGATGGTAATTTTCCACCCTTTCCAGAAGTATCTCAGAATATCCAGGGGAGTAATACCTGAAAGAGAAACATTTTGTTTGTGCATTAGACTACAAGGCATGTTCTGTGCTAAGTAATGAAACACTATTCATATTTCTATTGATCAGGAAAAAATCCTAGCATTAGACACTAGTCAAGGAATTCTTCAGTTATTCCCGTACAATGTTTTAAGAGCCTGCTTTTCAACTTACATTATCATTTATACTTGGAAGTCAGGTTTTCAAAAATACGTTTAGCTTCTTTTAGGGCATGTAGGTAAGCGGCTAGTTTTTAAGATAGGTTCCGCAGCCATAAGCATTGTCTTTACTAAGAAATGTAGATGTTAACTTCTTTTGAAATTATGGCCTTTAATAAAAAACCATGAGTTTACACAGAACCATAGGCTGCCAGACGACAATAGTCTACTGCTGTTCGTCAAACATAAGCACACACCCCAAAGCTAATGTGAAGTCTACATCAATGCGAGAGACATTGATTCTGGAACAAAAAAATTTATCACAATGACCTTCTGTCTCTAATGCCAACTCAAGGACGGAGATTATCCAATAGGTTTTCATTAGAGTAGGACTCTATGGTGCCATTATTGTCCTGCTGTCATTCAGTTGGTTTTCCACAATGGACCAACTACATGCTTCCAATATGCAAGCATCACCAAAGCTGCATTTAGTTCTTGTTTTCCAGGTTAAAATTATCTGAAATTTATTACTATGTTATTCTAAAAACATACATCTCAGTACATTTCTGGTTTTGCAGACATGTAAATTGTCATCTCTGAGCCCTGGAAGCTTTAACTACAAAGAGAGAGGAACACGCTTCCATGTAATGCGTGCCTAAAATGTATTCAAGTAGAAATCCCCAACGTTTTCACACTGAAGGAAGATCCATTTAGCTTGTTGATTTTCATTTTCTGGATTATTTCTGCATAATGTAACTCTTTTTAAAACTCGTATTAGTTCTCTGTTTGTAAAGCTAACTTTTCAATGCATTATTATATTCAGTCTGCAAACAGCCTAAAATAACAGGTCTCCAGGACAAACCCAGAGCTGGAGTCTATTATAGCAGCTGTGCCTCAGGCAGCACAACCAGCACAAGGCAGCAGCACAAAGAGGCAAGCTGGAGATGCTCGAAGGGGCCCTTTTCTTTATTACATCCCAGCCTACATAAGTAACCTTGTTTCAGTTACAGGGAAAAAAAAAAAAAATAGCTGTAACAAAGAAACATTAATTATATCCAGGAAAGTGTAAGTGAATGTCCTCT